GGCTCCACATGGCTTGGCCCCCTCTTGGGACATGTCATCTTTTTGCCCCTCTCCCCGTGAGCTCCGTGCGGCTGATGGAGGCTCACCCTGTTCCCACTGCCAGAACACACCCGGTGAGGGACAGGCTTTCTTGCTGCTGTGCCACATTGGGTGTTTGTCTAGCCTAGACATATTTTGCAGGCAGAAAGGTTTTTTGTGTCATTTTAATCCTTGGGACCTTCTGTCACCTTGGCTTTGCATTTTTCTCTAGTTTTATTTTGTGTAAAGTGCATTTTAAACATTGTAAAGTGCTTTGAGGTTATGACTTTTAAAACTACTGTACAAAATAAAGTTTATTATTATGACGGGTGTAGAAATGCAAATCTAGCAGCCATTCTACCTTAGCTCTCCAGCGCACAGGTTTTGGACATGAAACCTCTGTAGAGACTCTTAAAGATAAAACTGTAACCAATATCACAAAAAAAGAAAGTAATAATTCTTTGAAGATGGTGACATGACCTAACAGAACAAAAGGTCTTTGTATTTATCGAACTACAGCATAACAAAGGGATCAGTTAAGCAGGACACAGTACTCCACTTTCCCTGCTGTGTAGCTGGCACTGGGATAAGCAGAGTCCTGACTGTAAAGCGATGTAGATCTAGTCAGTGTGGCCTGAGAGATGTGAAGAACTGCTGCCATCGGCTCCCTGAACCACACAGGTGTGCACACTCAGGTGATTGTGCACCACTACAATCCCAGACGCAGTCCACACTCACACCAGCCGCTTGGACTCAGGGACTAAGTGGGAAAGTGGGAGTCTGATCAAGTGTTCCCACTGAGAGCTGGTGTGAGGGGAGTGTACTGGTGCACTCTGGCTGCCGTCACATCATCCAGGTGGGGCTGCGCACTGGTGGTGGTGGAGGGGATCCCCATTACCTGTAAAGTGCTTTGAGTGGAGTGTCCAGAAAAGCGCTATAGAAGTGTAAGGATTATTATAAGTGTCTCTTCTGTTTCAGCTGCCAACTCATCATCCTTTTTCAGCTGGCAGTGACCCTAGCTGTAACATTAGCACATTTACAAATACAGTTTCGCAACCTAAATCCACCCAATATTGAATACGGTAGTTGTCTCTGGATATAATAAAATAATGAAAGCTGGTAAAAAGGGATGTGAAATGCACTCATCACAGATGTGAATGGAAATGTTTACTTGCAGGTTGTAAAAATTATAAAATATGCTGTGATTCCCATTGGGCACGTTTACAAAACCACCAGTCTCAATTCAGCACAGGTGCAAAGGTTTTCTTTGGCAAGCCTGTTTCTGAATGAGGAAACTACATTAACTGGAAGCTTTAAAAAGCTGCATATATACTGTATCTAACAAGTCATTAGATGGTCAAACGCATGTACCAACCTAAGTGTTCCAACACTACAAAAATAGTGAAAGGTCTTTTGCAGGCAGCCAGATTGAACTTGAGTGAAATGCTACTTTCACAAACCCTGCCTAATTTCAATTATTGTCAAGGGGAGACTGCCATCACTATATGTAAAAATATAAAAAAACATTTGCTGCTGTAAGTCCCTTCCATCGGGCTTTTTTTGAGTAGGCTATCTTTAAAAATCATGAACATCTAGGTGACAGCAGAAGTAGGCAGTGTTATGAATGTCTGTAACCCACGGCAACACTCAGGGCATCCTCCGTGATGTTAAAGGCGGGTGCTGAATTCAGGCGCATGTGGCATTTAGAACAATCTCTTCATAAATGAGAAACGATGCAAGTGTCATTGCAGTGAATTACATGAAAATGAAACTGTCTCTCAGGTCATGGGTGAGTGAGGCGTGTGAAAGTGAAAGAGAAAAAGCATTTACTCTCCTCAGACCCCTGATCTGCTATGATTGATGATTCTCATTGGGTTTTTCAGCTTTTACTTTCATATCCCATTACTCCCCCCCACCAGACAAATACACATAGTTTTCAGTCTGCAGCTCATGACTGACAAAATTACAAAGCTGACAGATACAATTAACAATGTGTGAATGACTGTACTGAGATTAGTGTACAATGAAGTCTCCATATCATTAAAGAGGTGCACACTATCCTGTAGAGTCATTTTATTGTCTAATTATGCCCTATGTAGCACCACTGGGTCAGCCACATGGAAAAACAGGAACATTTCTAAGACTCCATAAAACACAGATTTGCAAGGTGCAAATAGGTTATAAAAGTTAATGCAAGCAGTAAAACATCTTTATAAATGTTCCATTTTATAAAGGCAAATTTCATGTTGAAATAATCGGTGCCTAAAAAGCTTCTCTTGCTTTGTTAAAGAGCAGTATAGTATTTTTAAGAGAGCAGGGTCTGGAAGAAATTTAGAAAGTTTGCATAATTTTGATTCTCTCAACCACTCTGCCAGATGCCAGTTTAGCTGGTGCTAATCTGACCTACAATACATAGGAGCAAAAGGTATTGCTTAATAAAGGGGGAGGCATCTGACCTTCCCACCCTTGTTGTCTCTGGAGCATGTGTGCGTGAGGCATTTGCAATCTGGGTTTATAACAGCCTATCCCAGAACAGTCTCTGCCCTTCTGTAATAACGGCCTGCTGCTGAAATAAAGACATCTGACTTGCCATTGCTAGAGGAAACCTATACATCTTAGTACTATACTGTCTTAAGCGTAGAGCAAGCTGTGGGATTCATCTGAATACCTGATGAACATAAAAAAAACACTTGAAAAGAAAACAAGGCATGCACTTGTCACTGTTTTTAACATACAAGTATTATTGCTGCTTATTAATCAGTACAGCTGACAGACTACGAAATATTTTATGCAAAATATGCTATTTTTGAGCTCATACATTAATCTATTTAAAGATATCCTGCTCACCTCCATTGATGATTTGGGTCATAATATTCTACGGAAGAAACCCGGCAGACCAGAATGGAAAGTAAAGTGTAGCACAAGCCACAACACATCACAAGCAAAACCTCATGAGATCTGACGATGCAGGTGATGTTTCACACAGACATGAAAATAACCTTCACCGGCTCCACAAAAAACAATGTCTTTCTGAAACAAGCAGATGCCATTTTTTAGAATCTTACAATTTCCAAAGAAAAATAAAAAGTATATAATGGGGGAATTAAAACTTTGCTAAGAGCATAAACCTAATTAACGAAGTGGAACTGCACAGTTTTATATGTTCATGTGTTAATCATCTTTCTGACTCAAGCAATGGACACTCTTGAGTGCTGCCATGCCCTCAGACTCCAAGCAGCCTCACTGTTCTGTGCACTTGGCTTTGATCACAACTTGATTCTGACCGTGAAAAAAAAACTTAGAACTAATTTCTTCGCAGGCATCCACGCAAAAAACAAAAAAAGCATGTTACATATTTAAGAACCTAAATGAAATACTCTTTTACATTACTGTCCGAATGACATTCTTCCTCAACACCCTGACGACCACATCTTACCTTTGTAAGCACTCATGTCTATAAATTGCTTCAGGGATCAATGTCCCCTTGGCCAGCTGACCATGCCTGCTTCACAGTCGGGCCAGGATGAGCGATGCCCCACTGCCCTCGAGTCGCTCCTCGGCCCGGTGACTGGCAGGAACCCCAGAGAAAGAGCCTCAGAGTTTCTTGTTCCGCACTTCCAGCGACAGTCTTGGAGAAACAGCTATGGTGACTTCAAAAAACCTGTCCACTCTTAGAGAGTCATATGGAAGCAGGTTCCAGGATAATAAGGAAGCAAAAATAAATGAAAACACCTCAAAAGCAGAACCAGACGACAAGCCCACAGCTCTGTGGTGTAAAAACCTCTCACTGCTGAAAAAAAACCCCATCATTCCCCACTTCTCTTTCATATCCAAAAAAGAGAATGACTCACACAACGGGCAGTTCTTGTGAATTTCTGAAGCCCTACAAAACATTGATCTGTGAGCATTTTCACACAGTACAGCCCCAACGGCTTCACCAGAGCTGAAAACAGAGATCTTCATTTTATGCAAATCCGATACACAAGGTCGAAATTCATTTTTTTTTGTTAATGGGCTCTTTTTTCCCCATAAGCAGACTCAATTATTTTTTTCAAAATAACTTTAAGATAATAGGCCAGGTGTAAACTTGTTATTTGTTTAGGTTCCAGAATATTTTAAAAGGCTCGACATCTGCAGGTAGAAATTTACATCAATTAAACTTAAGACAGTTCTTTCATGACAATGAACGCACTACACAGAACAATCTTTCCATGTTTCAGAGATTTAATTTCTCAAAAGGTAACATGGGTACAAAAAAGACAAGCTATTTATATAGCATATTTTATGGTAGCAGGTTTTACACAAATCTGACGGTTAAAGTAGATAAACAATTCAAAATGCCGTTGCATAACATTGGCAACATATATGACTTGACAGAAGTACACAAGTGTTATGCAACGGAACTCAATCGGACACTCATTATTTATCCATTGTTTGTACAATTGGTGCTATTCGATATGCATATAAAATAATGTTCAGATTTACTCATACATTACTCCTTCCTGTCTTGGAAAAGGATGCCCACTGAGCTCATGTTTTAAAAGGTGGTTGTATCCTTTTTACCAAAGCAAAACATCAGTTAATGATTATTTTATGTTGTTGTTCCCCGTTTTGAATTTCTTTTTTCAAGATGCTGGCCCGCTCCATAAAATGTATTATTTTGTGCTCCATACCAAGTTCCTGAAGACGGGAAACAACTTCAAGATTAACAGACTTTCCTTTGAGCTAAAACCTAAACAGAAGATGGTATTTACACTTGTTGCTGTATTTATAATCCTTATCTTAGCATTTACATGGAGTTATCTAGATATTAGAAGTTGGGCAGGACTGCGTTTCAATAAAGGTCCAGCTTCCTGGTGAACACACAGCCTGGAACACTTAACTCGCTGTTGACAATCCCTAGGCCCTGCTCCAGCTCTGAAGCCACACAACAGAAAAACAGATCTGAGTCAGAGACAGCTTGCCTCCAATCAATAGCAGGGTTTTTCATGAGCATTCTTGGGGTTAAGCATGGTCTGTGCCAGTCAGACCACACTGCACGGTATGAGAAGCCACACAAACGGAGGCTCTGTTCTCCCAGCCCTCTCACAAGCACCGAACCAGGAAAACAACAGCGCTCTCTCTCGTCAACGAGCAGCTCCCTTTTCCATATAATAAGGTGAGATGGCACAATTTGCTTTTTTTTATTAGATGATAAACCTGCACATCTGTGATCTCAGGAAACAAAACCTTGTTTTCTTTACTGTAGGTCACCCGTTGTCTCGCATGCCTGACAACTGCTGTGCTTAGTGTTGACTCTTTCTGCATTAGGGGGTCAAAAGCCAGACAACCTCCAGGCCTGGGGACGCAGATCAACCCCTGGGGACCTGCAGCTCACTGGCTCCAGGGGAGGAGATCAATTCTGCTTGGTCAGAAATGGAAAACCATGCATCCCCTTGGTCAACTGCTGTAAGATTTAAAAACCTCGCCATAGGTAGAAATGATCATCATTATCAACAATACTGCAAATACTGTATTTTGAGACACTGATGAATCAATGCTTGATGCTGGTCGATGTTTAGTTTTGGAAAAAAAGAATATAGTTGCAACACGAGCGTAAATCCATTGACGGAGGAAAGGAGAGATTCACAAAACGTTTGAGTTCTACACATAGCATAGGTGTGTTCAATCCCCCACCCTTCCTCTCACAGTAAAGAAACCTTCAGCTTCAAAACTGCTCACATTCCTAAACATTCAACAGGCAGGGCTAACAAATAGACATGTTTGTGTTCACCACTTAAGGATTATCCAGCCCTCTGATGATGTTAATCCCCCACTCTGCTCAGGCTATAGGACCTGAAATATCCCTTTTAAAGCTGTGCAAATAGTTGGTGGCCACTTTTTAATTCCTGTATTGAAAGCAAAGGAGACAAAGCAGAAGTTACATATTTTCTAAGATTTCTCCTTTTCTCCCACCTGAACATTGTGTCCTGATGTCTATGTATTTTTTTGTACAGTATGTGCGCTTAACGATGAATCAGATAATTTCACCTGAATTTCCTAACATTTTAATTTTGTGCACATTATTGGGTGGAGTTTATAGTAAAGCTAATAAATAAATAAAATAAAGATCAGTACAAATTCTGTGCTGTCAGGATATCAGGGCATATGGTAAAGGAAGTTTACAGTGTCTGTCCCCCCCAGCCTTCATAATTAATTTAAGGCAAAACAGTAACGGTATATTCCTTAGTTCAAGGCATTTCTTCAGATAAGTTGCACAGCATGAATCAGCTTCTTTCCCCAGAGAAAACGGAGTCAAACGTGTTTTATAATACCATTTTAACTGCAAGCACATAATAAAGAAAATGCAGTGTTTCAAATACACAGATTTTAAACTTTTCAAAATAAATGATTTGGTTCACTGACACTAGTTTATCTCAAAATATAAATGTAAACAGAACTATAATTCCACTTAATTTCTTTTTTCAAATTCCCAGCATTTTCTGCCCAGCAGTACACTGAATATTGCTCCTGAAAAAGGAAACTAAATTAAAAAAAACTACAATTTATCTAAATATATCCAGTTAACCTTTTGAACACAATTTCCTCTTTTGTGTGTGACAGCATGCAGGAGACCACCCCTGCTCTAGCACAGGACAGGGATGGTCTCAGCCTATACAGTATGGATGTGTCATTAGAATCCCAAAACACACAGCACCTCAGGACTCTTTCAGAGGACGTACAGAGATGACGACAGTCACCCGCTCACTCCAGAGTGGATGGGCCCTGTGGGACATGTCTGAGACAAAGTGATGAAGCTCACAGCTCATCTAGGTGTCGTCTCCCTGCCTCTGCCTGCTGGGTGGGAGAACCTCACAGAGCACGAGAAACACCAGGGAAGAAAGGCCAGAGCTTTCCAGTGCTGGAGCAATGTCAGCACTGAGGCCTTTGTTGACACATCCAAGAGCAATAAAACCTCATGCTCCAACTCCCTCAGCCCCCTGCCCCCATCGCCTTCTGCATGTTATAGCATAACCTTCTGCCCACACCACCAGAGACTAATAACCCTGGCGCCCTGCCGAAGCCACTGTCTCCTGCCTAATTCCCTCTGCCCTGGAGCCATTGCTTTCCGTCTAAGAGTCTTTTTAGAACAAAAAAAAAATGCTGGTTAGGTTTTGAATTTTTTTATTTCACTTTTTAGGGCAGCTCCGTCAGCTCCTTGGAAAATGACGACAGCTCTGAGGCGCGCAGCCAGGCCCGGCAGTGCGGCAGGATTTAAGCGCTGCCGCTGGAGACTCTGCCCGTCTCGTGAGGCACTTTCACCCCCCGCCTCCCGCTGCTCTCCTCTTTCTCACCCGGCCCCAGCCTTCTTCTACACAGGTCCCTGCTTCTCACTTAATTCTACCCAACACACGTGAGAGACAGACACACAGCTAATTCCGGGCCTGTCTTTTTTCCATATCTCTTCAGCAGCAAGCAGCAAGCTGTGAAACGCTTTGTGGGTGACAGATTGTGTTTTCAAGTGAAATGGTGTTGCTTATTTAAGGCAGAGGGTGAAAATGATTATTCCAAGACATGAAAATCACGTGCACTCTTAATACCTAGGTGATATGCAGACAAAATGTAAAGGTTACCCTTAGAAAAATAAAATTCCAGCTTTTTGGCCCCCATACCATTTGTTTATACTTCCCCTAAGGGACAGATACAGAGAACCCAGGCAATGTCTTAACAGCTTTTGGTCAATAGGTGGCACAGTGTTGATTCGATTCACTCTTTTCATCAAGTGTGAACAAACAGACTGTGTATTTAATGGTCTACATACCGTGCACGCACTCAGGTCTTCTGTCCTGAGTATTACAATGAGAGACTGCCTCGATTGTTTCAGTGAAGATCGTTGTGTAACTCCCGGATATTCTTGAAACCTAAACCCTATCCTTCAGAATGCCCAGCCACTAAAAGCGTTGTTTTAATCCCACTGTTGTAGCGAAACAGCAGAATACATTGTATTTTTAACTTAAACGTATGACCACCAGGAGGTCCCAATCAGATTTTCATTTCAGCCTTAAGCAAGAACTACAGGCTGGTGGCATCATGTTTTTAAGAACCTAAAAGACAATGAGGGTAGGCAGACTTTTAATAGGCCTGCATTCTTCTACAGCACCATGGAAAATACTTCACGCCTGTGAAAACCACTGCGATTTTAAGTGTATGGAGTTTTGACAAGACCTTGATTTAACGTACAATAAGGAAACTCTCACAGCACAGTGGTCCACAGGAAAGAATACCACTCACTGGTCCACCCACACCACGTCCAGATGCGACACCATCTCCCTTCTCCGTCCAGAACTAATCAGGCCAAGCCTTGCTGAAGATGGTATGGCTTCTTTTAAGATGGTATGGCTGCTTTTGCACAAACAAATGCACGCTGGCAATAGCGGTATAGTCTGCTGATCTGTTCCAATGGCACTCTGAGGGTAAACATGTATGACATGAATATGCTACTTTTTGCTTTTTTTGTAGATACATTTGTCTTTGCCCTATAAAGAGTACGCAATGTATACATAGCAAGGTAAATGGAGGATTATCACCTCTCTAATAAGAAGATACTGTTGATTGAGACCCAGCCCTGCTTAAACCTTGTAGGAATCCTATTGAAGCATAAGGCACAGATTAGACAGGGAGGACTGCTTTAAGTGAGACTAGAAGGTGTATTACTTTACCACATGCTTTTAGCAATAGTTCATTCAGCAGCAATGTTTTAATCAAAGTGCTGAATACAGCCATGCTAAATACCTCTGAGTCAGACTTCACAGAGAGAAGCCTGTGAAGCATGCAATTCAATAGGCACTTACTAGGGAGTGAATTTGATATTTCTGTCAAAAAGCAGGCTGGCTGTTCTAGTGCAGTCTGTTCAACGGCAGGCATTCCTTACAATCTGTTTGATGTGCCACTGTTGGACTTCCACGTGCCACAATTGGGAACGCAGACTCTGAACCAATAGCAGAGTCATTGTCAGTCAATTGAAATTTAGAAAACATTAAAGTGCATTCTATATACTATACTTTGTAAATTGAGTGCACCCTTTTACATTGACAGCTATACGAGCACTGCAGGCATTTCTTTCTCACTGTACACTCCTTGAGTAACTTAGAAAATGTAACAGACAGCAGTAGTATCAGTAGTTAATTACAGTACGTTACACTGAAATTGGACTCCACTGCACGAATTGACCAGTGTTAAACACATGGCCCGCTTTGTCACAACGTGCTGGAATACAATAAGAGCAGGATCATTTTGCTTTCTCACTCACTGGTGTTAAATCACAGATCTATTAATAGTATGTGCAGGACAATGAAGGAAAAAGCTATTCTTACCAGGCTGGTCTGCTCTCCAAGCTCTCTCCTTATTATTAAAATCCATGATTCCTCTGATCTGAGTAACAGTTTCCAGCTGTAATTTGGAAAAAAAAATCTGCAGTCTTTCAGCGTGAGTACTGTTTTGGTTTTTTTTCTCTTAGTTTTTTCACAAGAAAAAGATATCTAAATATCAAACTTTTTTTTAGCTTTGTAAGGCTGATAATTTCAGGGGCTGGAAGAATGGGGGCGTGAATGCTCGTGTGTGTATCTGCAGCAGGGGCTTAAATTCCTACACTTCCCACTTTCCGATTTCCTAGGCGGTTTGCTGCAGTCACACCACATCGACTTGTAGTATCTGAGCTTCTAAGAATGTGACTCAGCCCTGCTTTCTTTTGCACAATTATGACTATTTCCTTCCCCACAGAGTACAACACAAGGCCAGTGCTTATCAGCTCAATTTCATGCCTTTTCAGCTGCCTACCAGAAAAGCGCCTGGCTCCTGTGATGTAGCAGCACACATGTAGCCTCCTTCACCCAGCACAGTATGAAAATTTGACTTCAGATGCTTAAAGTTTGCAGCACAAAGCATATCAGAACAGTAAATAGGTTCCAACTACTCGTAACCACTTTGAACAATTTCACTTTCTGTCTTCCAGAAGAGACAGGTATTAACCACAGGGTTTAAACTTGTGTTAGATGTACTTAAATCTTGTTTCATTTAAATTTTATTTGTTTTGTATACAATTTTATTTGAAGCTTTTCAATGTTTGGACCAAGGAGTGTACTTTCTGTATAATATTACCAGGGTCTCCTGAACATATATAATCATTTTTAAACAGAAGTCAAAAAGATAATCACCAACCAGTAAATATATTTTGTGCTGGAGAGCTTTAAGTTCTGAATCTCTTAGTATTTCTTCACAGATCAGTACATTGCGGGTAAGAACATGGACATTTTTCGACACTTCTGAAAGGACTCTTTCTAATGTTGAGCACCAAAAGCAAGAATTTAAGAATTACCTATTAACTATTTCCACCTTGACAGAATATATCTATTACCATTTAACAGTAAACACAATGATATATTAAACATCCACTTCTAAAAACAGCATGTAGGCTGAAATGAGAAAGAGAGCTTGGATGCCTTCAGAGCATACTGTAAAAACACTTTTTTTATGGTGCAATGGCACACACAACATGACAATAACTTCTGAAGCACAGGTAAAAAAATTCCTGCTGCTTTTGGTAGTTAAGCTGTTTATGGGAATAAAACCACTTATGCGTCACTCTTGACTTTGATGGTCCAGCTCCTCTGTGGGACTCGCGACAGGCCACAGCTGCAGAGGTGCGTCCTCTGCCCCTGCCAGTCCCAGCAAGGGGCGTCAATGTGAGGAGCACAGCAGAGCAACAGGAAGGCAAACCTCACATCAGTCTCCACAGCCCGTTTACAGATTCCTGTGCTCCTCAGCGAGCTAAGGGCAGCCCTATGTAGACATTTCACCTCATTCTTAATTAGTAAGGCCACCTTCAGCCTAGGTGAAGCCGAATACCATTTAAAATTCATCCAGAGGAAAAATGTTTCAGAATCCAGACCATGAGCCCCATGGGAAAGGTCAAAAAGTCAATCAAAAAGTGTTCCGCTGGAAACTTACACTGTATCACGGCTGAAATCAAAGTATTTTGCATCTGGCAGATCTTCCAATGAATATTCCTGTAAAGGGCAAGGACAATCCAGAAGGAGGACAGAGACAGAAAGATTAAGTCAACCCCACAGCAATCTTTTCTCTTCAGCGAGGACTTACTGAAATGTACATTCAAAAGTGGAGGCATATTTCCAAAATAAAAGTTATTGACATTGGATTGATTTACCGTAAAAGATCGGGAACTCAAAGCTTGTGAGAGGAGAGAAAAGGCCCCTGATTAATTTTTGTTTTGTGGTTTACCGTGCCCTCAGTTTGAAGAACAAAATTCCCTCGGCGCAATACAGTGCAACACCATCTCAAAGCCATCAGAGATCATGTTTATAATCTGTCAAAGGCCCCACCGAGACTGCGGTAAGAAAGAAGCCCTTCATGGAAACACAGTATGGCAGACTAAGCCTCCAGAGGTGAGCATCCCAGGCTGATACCGTAACAAGTCACTGACTGTACAGACCATTCCTATTTCTCATTATTACACCCTTGAATTGGTGCTTGAACGTCATTGTTAAATAACACCAACAAATTACTGAAAGAAAGATTATGCTGCAGAAGGCCTTTATTAAAAATAATCCCCTTATTAAATTACAGGTTCTGCTTGCCTGTACAAACATTACTAATATGTTTATGTGTGAACAAGGTAATTGCTCCTGAGGTGACGCAAAGTACAAAAGACCCACTGGCAACAATAAAATCTGACTTTGCTTTCAATGGCAAAGTCACAAAAGATAAGTAGAATGTTACCCAATCTATGAAATGACCATGAACTAGAACTCTGTGAAATCCAAAAGATTTTTACAGGGTTCCACTCTGTAAAAAAATGTTGTAAAAACTGCTATTTTTTGTACATACTAAGATAGAGGCTATTAAAATAAGGGGCACTTCACCCTGCTCATTTATGAGCGGGCAACGAAACATTGTGTTGTGTCATGATGAATCGACTGTTCATGGGGAAGGGTGCACTGCTCATCACAACAACGCCTCTGGCCAAACAGGCCCGTCAGTGTGATGCAGCCTCTCCTCTTGAGAGCAGAACTCCACCACTAGACCGAAGTGCGGCAAGTTCCCCCAAAAAACAATGGTGCGACATTGTGAGTCCTGATGCAAAGAGACAGTATGCTTTCAACATAAACAGATACAAAACCCATCCTAATTGGTTTGCCTGCAGCCATGTTGGCTGTGCTCTCAAGCAGCAAGCAAGGATTAAAAACTTTTCCTCCATCTCCCTCAAAACAGCTTATCATCAGCAACTTACAGGTGACTCCCCACAGTTAACCCCTTCATGGTGAACAGTGTTCAACTCACGGAGAGGTGACTGGCATGGCCAACATGCTCCAGAGCTGTGTTTTTTTTTTCATTTGAATAAGGGCATCTCTGTAGTGCTTGGTACCCTATTCTGGATCTTTATATGGAAGAAATAAAACACTTCCCATCTTGATCAGTGTATATTACAGAATCACAGGTGTGAGTGAAATGCTTAGTGGCTTGATTCAAAGCAAAAACACTGGGGAACGGGATTAAAGTACTTTAAAGTGAACAGCTGGCAGGCAGGACAAAAGGCAATTCAAATATTCTACAGAAAGAAGGGTGTTTATGCAGGAAAAAATCACTGGATGGTAGGATTTTTGGTTGAGGAGATGTCTGTGATATTTAGAGACAGGAACTGAAGTCACTTGATTGCTGATGCTCTGGGCAGTTAGACTTCAGAAACTCGAGTACACTGTAATGAAATAAAAACAACTGGGGCAGTATGACTACAGTCAGATGAGGCAAGTTTGTTCAGTGATCAAGAAAGAAATAAACCACAGATGTATTGATATATACATATCATTGCAATATTCATGGAGGCATAACTTCTAGAAGTCCTGTGTCTTGGATCTGTGAAGAGAAACATGTCGAGAATTCTAAAATGCTCAACATTACAACTAATAAGATGATTCTGACACTCACAGCAACACAGAAATAACTAGGATTTCTAGCACCTGCTTTATTGGAAATGAGTATCGGTCACTCTTCACAATCCCACTCAGAAAGGGCAGGACATGGACTTGAGAGTTGGTTTTACTAATCTTCCTGCCACATGTGAAAACGTTGCTCTTAAACCCAACTTCAACACTTCCTTTAACTCTTCTCAATTAGGAATAGCTGCAAAAACTATCAGGCAAAACAAGACAGTCAGGTAGGAGAAGCCATTTTCATCTTAAAACACTGTATATTCTTCCTACATAAACATCTAGTAGCAGGTATGACATTTTTTATGACTTGCCAAGCTATCATACCATTAATTATACAGATCTGTAAAGATATGACTAGCATTTTGTGGTTAACACACCTTGTAGTAATTAACTACATTGCAGATCTCATTCAGTCTAATATTCTTTGAAAACACTGGTTATAAATTCATTCTTTTCTTTCTCTGTATCACCACTGAAACCACACAGCAAAGCTGTCACTTCTATTGTCCATTGAAAGACCTTAAAAGATTCACTTAGGTTTAGTTTAAGTCAAAACAATATTTGCAGATTCCAGGTCACAACAGTACATGAAAAGAAAACATACCCTGAAGCTCAGCAGGGAAACAAAATCTAGGTATCAAAATTTGCTAAAACCAGTCTTGTAAATATATTACAGAGAGATGGTTTTCTTCAAAGCAAATAACAGGACAATGCTGTGAATGTTTTGTACAGGAACAGTGTTCATACGCAAATACCCAGCACTTCTTCACATAGCCTTGCATTTAAACAGCAAATTCCCATAATTGTCCAGGGGGTCTACACTGTCCGGCTATTGCACTTTGCTTAACATCCTTTTTATTTTGAAGTGTATTTCAAAGAGGCGTTTTCTGTTGTTCACTGATCTGACATCAAATAAATATTTAATGAATGCAATCACTCCCTTTTTGGTTACATTTTCTGATTCTAATTTTCAATGTGACAGCAAATCGCTCTCAGCACCATCAGTAATTGGGGGCAGTTCAGCCTGAAGCATCGGCTTTTAAAAACTAAGCAGAGTAAGAAAATGTACTGGAGACCATCGCATCTGTTACCTTCTCGAGTTACGCTGCAATACAGATAAGCCTTGTATTTGCTTACAGTACATACGCAAATCATCCCATTTACAAATCATATGAGTGACTTTGAGATGCCAGGGTTATTGCCCTGATATTTTCATACTTTGTCAGTTACTGGTACAGTCATTATGGGCAATAATAGATAAGCTGTTAACCCCGGACATGGTGCACTAGACTTCATGAGGCCAAACAGAGTTCTCTTTGACTGTTGTTCAACAGACTGTGCATGGTTTTGACTAGTTTAAGGCACTCTGAAAACTGGGTATGTTTTTGCTATGCACCCCTGATATTACAGGACCTGGGAAGGCCAACAGTTTTAGTACAGAATCAAACTGCAAAGATTAATTTAGTGAAGTAGGCACAGAAAAGATTGTGTAACCACAGAAAACTGAAAATCATCCATCCATCTGTTCTTGAACCACTTCATCCAATTCAGGGTTGCAGGGAAGCCAGAGCCTATCCCAGCAAGCAATGGGCACAAGGAGAGAAACACCTCGATGGGACAACCACACACAGACACACACACTAGAAATGAACAGTTTTTGATGATAAAACATCATTCAGTTGCTGTTACTGGAAATCAGACTGAGTGAGAAAAGTAAAGTTTTTTAAAGAAGCAATCCGGCAGTTGTTAAGATAATGCATTCTTAACGAATACGCCTTGAACACATACCAAAGTAGAATGCTTCATTAATGTATGGCCAAGGTGAGTTGGAAATTAGCAGATTATCAGTCCCTTTCAGGACCCGAGTCATACAGCTTATTCAAACAATAAACTGAAAGTAAATTTGCTTTCAGACAAGGGGAATATTTAATAAGTCACTGCTTCAGTATGGAATCTAATGCATTATTATTCATAGGACTGATAATAAAAGACTGCTAGTCTGGCAATAAAGCATTTGGATAAATAGTTGCGATGGGAGGGATATTAAAAACTTGACTGATGTCTGAACATCCTTTCAACTTTGCTTAAGGAACAGCTGCTTCAGTTCACAAGATATTAGCGCGGTGTGTTTAAATTCAGAACTTCACTGTAGAATAATGAACTCATAAAGTTGGTATTTTAAGTGCACAAAGACATTAGATAAATACTATGCATATATATATATATGTCTACATGCATTTCTACATATATAGACATTTGTAATACTACTATAAACTACACAATAGACAGATTAGGATTAGTATGCTATTCAGAATATGGGTATTTCAGAGTTATTTGGAAGTACAAGGAAATATCCCGTCATATCATGAAAAGTTACTAACCGACAACAACGCAAACCTCTAGCTTAACAGCCTGTCCTTCAAAAACTATGTTTAAAAAAGGCGAAGTAAACATACTAAACGTTTAGCGCTGCAAAACATGCCTTTTAAAAATGTTTGGGAGGCACACTGCACTGGTTTGAAAAAGGGATCCAATAAATGTGCAGGCCATGCATTTTCCCAGCCTTGCCTTGCGCACGTTTATCATTTTGTGCTTATGCTACTTTTTCCCTCAGCATGCTGTATTATTCTTCAGCTTTTTTTTGCCTGATCGACATATTTAAACACAAATTTAGAGCACGATGAAATGCAATTACTCTGTTTTGGACACTAGTCTTTAATCATAGTCCATGCTTGATTAGTGAATTAGTCATTTGGCATTTCTTTCTGCGTTTTGAAATAAAAAGCAAAGATTTGCTGCGGCAATAATGTTTTGACCACTTTGTCATTGAAAATCTAATTAAGAATAATTTGCATCATTTGTTGAGATGGATTTCTGACAGAATTTTAAATGTAGAAGTCTTGAAAGTTTCAAAATGATGTACAAAATTCAAACTTTCAAGTGGTTTCGTTCTACTGCCAAAATCACACAAAGTCCATTTCAACTGAATAACGAATACCAAAGTGCCTTATGAATGCTAAAGACAACTAGACCTTTTAACAAAATCACACTGCTTGCTCAGTGTGTTTTTTTTTTCTGCTTAGTGTAAACAGTAAGAATAAGCAAGCGAAAGAGGAGCTGTCACTTCAGCCCAGGTGTAAACCTTAGCACAGGCGAACCCTCAACATGTGAACTAAGCAGAGGTCCAAACAAGAGACATGAAGCTTGGGAGATGGAGACCAATCACCACCTGCTCAATTGTGCTTGCAATCTTGCACGTAATCTCGGCCACATACACCATCCACTAAACACAGTCAAATCTGTAATACAGTAAGGGCAGATAGTGGCAGACTCACTTGCAGGCTGGTGGTCGGCGCTGTCTGGGTCCAGACCGCAGGGGAGACAAGGGGCTGCACTGACTCCGGGCTCCACTGCGCTCCCTGCTTCACACGCCTCTCCCGCCGCCTGACGCAGGACCAGCTCGGGGCCCGTCCTACTCCCTGCAGCGGCTTCAAGGCCAGAAGGTGAAGTCTGCAAGAAAAAGGAAAGAAAAATGCTTTCATTTTCATTTTCTTCATACAAAAAGAGTTTTCTGTGGGGTATTTTCCCTGACAAACAACTGTAACGGCTATTTTCACTGGAAGCTAAACAAATGTAACGGCAGTCATGTGGGAGCGAAGGTGGGAGGTCTAATTTGAAGCATTTTAAAGAGGGGCAGGAAGGTGAAATTTGGAGACTTGTTTTATTAAATACAGGATCAGTGAAGCAATGTAACTGAAAGAGGTAATGAACTCCCAGAAGGATCAATAAAATAAAATTCCGGGCAGTCTCCTGGGTGGCTGAGCCGGTATAGGTGCTCACTCAAGCTCTGGAACCGTGGGTTTGAGCTGACCGTGACTGAGATGCCCCAGGCGGGGGCAGGGGGCCGTGTCGCTGTGCTGCTGGCAGGTAGGAGGCGCTCCTGCGTGCGGTTGTGGGACTCATGGCCTCAAGTTTAAAACACGACAATATACACCATGCGCAAGTCCAGTTGGGTGGCAAAACAAAAACAACTGGCTATTCTAAATTTTAAAAAAGTCCTAGCAATTATCTATTTCAGTACAGGTTTCATTTTCATACTGCAGTGCAAGACCTTCTGCAGAGTTTGTTTACAGGCTTCAAAAGAGGAAAATAAAAATGCCATTCAGCTGTATCAGCTCCTGTGCTCTTCCCTCAGTATCATGTTTCTCAGATTAATGACACTATGATTTAACAGTCTTCTTGGCAGTTACCTTCCAATAAAACTTTTTTTGCTTAAATGAGAATTCTGTCAAGGCGACGAGGCCTGAGGGACCTGGCAGGTGATTTTCGGTACAGCACAAGTGGCTGGTGTCAGTAAGCCGTCACAAAGCTTTCAGAAGCCCGACAAGAAAGGGGAGCGCCGCAGCGGAAAGAGCTGGATGAGAGGAAGCAAGCTGTTAGGTTTCCGAAGGGAATGTGACAAGTATTGAGCCTTCTGGAAGCTGACTACACCGAAACGACACGGATCAATAAGCTGTACAGAGACAGAGCAGCGTTCATGATCTTGCTGGTGAAGAAACAAGGACCACAGCGAGTGCTAAAGGTGGAAATCAATTTGCAACTGCATTCTTGTCCTGTTCACAACAGGTCACAGAACAGGGAGACGTCCACTACTGTAGGAGTCGCTTTACTGCTAAATCATATAACTTGCAATCTGTGGGCAAATTTACTTACAACACCTTCGTATAATAAATATCACTTTCTTCAGACAATGAAAGAAAAGAACGAAATTTGATGTCACGTTTCAGTTAGAACTTGTTAGCGTTACTGAGACATGGCCTGGTTTTAACCTCAACTTCTTTCACTGTTAGAGACAAAAACCCAAAAGAAACCTAGAACATCAAAGGATCAAAAGAAATGACCGAGTGCAGTCACAAGACGTCCCAGTTCTGATGCAGAAACCAGATAATCCACTTTTAGAAACAGGATTAAAGGCAGAGAGGGAGAGCAGGCGAAAGGCAGAAGGGGGTTCTCTCAATGAATATTCATGGGAATGAAGCTTGACCATGAAAAGGCAGGAAAATGCTCAAACTGTCAGAAAAGATGCTTCAGTTGAAATAAGAACAGAAGCCAGAAACACCTTTGATGCATCTTATGCCTGACAAGCACTTAAAAAGCCGCCACTGAAAATTCCGACATGTCCCGGGATTTAACTATGTATCCAAACGCCACCGAAATAAACAATCCACTGCTGCAAAAAAGCAATTCCTTTATATAAAAATAAGAGTACAAACAAGAAAATGAACCCATTTGGTTGTATTTTAACCCATTTATTTTTTAAATGTATAAATGAATAAATACCAGCATTATTTTTAATTAACAATATTAAGTAAGGCTGGAAAAACAGACGCTCCAAACAAGGGAGTCTAGCAGGAACAGCGGTTATACCTGCGCGACAGTTATTAATTTTGTTTTTGTCGGGCAGAAGAGGCTGCTCCCACTCTCCAGCTGACTGGCACAGATGTTCTGGCCTTACCCACACAAGGGCGCTGGAATAAATCATTCACAGACCAGCCTCCTACCACACACACACACTTCATCTGTTTCATGCTCTCGGCATTCGCTGCCGTTTCCTCCCAGTAAGCGCCTGCCCGCAGCTCCTGGGATTTGGGCTGCCGAGCTCTCCACCTGCTGTTGCCAGGCTGGAGCCAGTCTCAACTTTTTCACAAGTCGGTGTCACCTGACTCAGCAGCTTCCTCCCCAGTGGCCGCAAGAGCTCCATGTTCGCTTCATACCACTGCCATGCAAACGAAATTAGGAAAATCCCCTCAATTTAAACTTCCTACAATTTGAGGTTTTCCTGTTCTTTGCATTGCAGTGCCTTCTTCAAGAAACAGTCATGTGTTTAATTAAATAAATAGTGTCACTCCACTGTGAGAAAATGGAAAAAAACAATACATCATGTAGAACCCAGGAGGTTGATGGTCTACACTGGTATTACTAAAAGGACTTGAATAATATCACAGGCACATCAGATGGAGTCTTGTTTCATAATAGACTATACAGAGAGATGTAAGAAAATAGAATGAAATCCTCCTTTTCCCACACTATAGCTTCTCCATACCCAAGCAGTGCTTTTAACACTACAGGCCCCTCCAGATGGGGCTGCCTGAGAAAATATCAGCCATGTAAAGGCATCAGGCTTTTGCAAAACCTAATTTAAATGGGTGGGTAGCTGTGTCAGCATGCGTAGGCTGCAAAGGAGCAAGTAATAGGTTTATTCCATGCTGAAAAGAGAAGAAAAACAACACAACGTTTCTTCTGGGACGAGCCTTCTTCAGGACAGGCTCAGGGGACTATGAAGTGAACCTGCACGTGGGCAAAGACTACAGCGTCACAAGCAGTGCCACAGTAAGGTATCCATGTAACAGGAACAGGGTATCGACTCCTTAACAGATCTGTACACCAGAGCCCGCATGGTCACTTTCAAAAATAATTACGCATAAGCAAATTGATCCCCAGGTATTTCAGAAATAGTCCTGTGGAGATCTCAGCCCTCTCTACTTGTAGAAACACAAGTGGAGTGTTTCCACATGGAAATGCACAGCCTCATGGAAGTAAGCACCATCTAGGCAAAATATGCTTTTTGTTTTGCATTTGATTTACTACATTGAGAAAATTAAAACTAATAAAACTTATCACAAAAAAATGTATTTTTTGTACTAAATGTACTAAGCACAAGTATTTTCTTCTCAATAAATATTTAAAATATTTTTCTACATATTGAAGTAGGCCCATATTCCTGAATACTACTAGTGCAGTATACAGTATTGTTAAGTATTAGTGCAGTATACAGTATCATTAAGCTACTTACTGCCACAGCACACTGCTTTTCTGCATGTCAGAGGGCCACTGTGCCTTGCAATCTCATATGGATCATTTTTTTATTAAACCTGCCTGATCCACTTAATGATAACTAGAATACAATTAGTTCAGAAATTATTTTAAAATGCTTCTCATTCATATTCTGGTAGTTTTATTCTGCTAATTCTTTTATTACATCCCACAAGCATAGTTTGCAGACCACTAACCCTCTATTGGTCCCTGCTTAAAAGGTTTCTCTGAAGTTTATTAAATGCCCTAGGTCAATCCAAAGGCAACATGCAGATGTTATCAATGTTCTGTTAAATGTAATTATTTCAAAGCCATCTGTGACTTTTAATTAACATGCCAAACTAAGCAAAAACTACACAATGAAGAGCTGTTTGGGTGCATGAAATGCACTTACTGCACTGTATGTCAGTTAAAAAGTATAGCTGGAGAGAGAGATGACCAGCCCCTGGTGAATTGTCAGCAATCAAAAATGTTTAATGCACCTCTCTAACAGAGCTAAAACAGTTGTGAAGAAACATCCATTCAAAATTCTCATCCTACAGGTGTGATATACAAATGTCTCTGGCTTTATGAGTTAAATTTATTCCAGTTATAAACAGTACAAATTCAACTGGGAAGACAAAACGAATTCACCCAAAAAAAGTAATCCATATCAACACCACTGCCAAAATACAAGACAGCTGGCTGTCCTGTTCGGAAGCTGAATGAAGAACACCCCAGTCTAAAAGCAGCTGAGTTTTATTTGCTTTCAAAGGCAGCACACACACACACAGAACTGCGAGACCGTGTGTGATTACTGTTGGATCACAGTGGGGGCTGATTAATAAATGAGGTAGGTTTTAAAACAACGTTCTGATCCTGTCAAACAGCACAGACAGCGTCTGAAGTTGGGGGAAAAAACCTTGCTAAGAACCAACCCCCAAGAGAAAGATCTCCATCATCTTTCTCTACATTTCATCGTATCACTTTTTTCCCCTTCATAAAAAGCGCATAAATACAGCTCTCACTCTCTTGAAGACTATCAGATGCAAGTCACACAGCTTCTGTACAGGGCAACTGAAAATGAAACATCACAAAAGCACTCCTACAGCTTATGTGGGAAATTCCTTTTGAAGAAATGTACAGTATTCGGAGGGATTGATGTGGCAGGCTTTTTCTGATATTACTAATCGTTGTCTCTTACTTTCTTACCAAAAAAGAAAATCTATCTTACAGAAAAAATAAAAAAAACGTATTCTACCTCTAAAGAGTTCTTCATAAAAGCACCAAGTCGGTAAAAGAAAGGATACACAGAAACAGTAAATGTAATCTTTCTTACCTCTGAGCTGTCACAATGTTAAGACTCTATTTGCGAATGCAGAAAGGTTATTAAGAGAAATTCTCGAAGCCTTCACTTCGGCTGTGTCCTCAAAGACTCACAACCGATTAGGTGCTAAGCCATGATTTTTGCACCGATTTGATGAGCGAAGATCTGGGGCAACACCAGGAAGATCGGGGTGCGGCTGCCACCCCTGACACATTCACTTGGTGACAGCAGTGGACAGGGGGCTCCGACTGGTGGCGGTGGGGAGACCCCATCGTGCAAGCTAAGGGGTGAGGTGAGGATGTCTGCAACGACTGGCTAATTACTGGAGGGG